ATAATATTATTCAACTATTGGGTTCTAGAGGAGTGAACTCTGAATAAAAGCAAGCCAAGACACTAGCTTGTTAATTTTCATGTTAAGACAATGCTTCCTTTAGAAACTCTTTTTCGTTTCATGTGAAATAGGAATTTCCAGCAACTGTGTTTTCTTTCTCTGCTATTTTTTCCTTCTGTTTCCACTCTAAGAGATCCTTAACTTTTGCCGTTTGCATGATATACCTTGAAAGAGCCAGCCTCATTAAATTAATGCCGGATATAATACTGACATCTTCAAGGCATACAATCCTTTTTCATAAAATAATTTTCCCTAATGTATAAAGGATGCTCCTATAAATGCCAAAATAATTTTATTTTTAATTTCGCCATTTTAGCAATTCTTTTTAATAAAATCTGTACAAGGCATTGAACCAGACACTATGGGAGCCATAAAGATAAACAGATATACTTCCTCCAGGAACTCGCAGTCTTGAAAAAGAGATAGGCCACTTCAGATCATTCTCTTGTGGGGCATATCGTGACAAACGCCTGAAAAGAGGTGCAGAGAAGTGCTGCGAACGCACCAAGGCAGGAGAGATTACTTCTGCGTTGAATAGGGAGAACTTCCTGGAAGAAACAGTCTTGATAAAGAATGGGGAAGGTCTGTCAAACTCAATGGCGGGGACAGGTATTCAGGGTAGCAAGGAACTAAAAGCAAAGTCACTAGGGCAGGGATGCAGCGCACAGTTGGGGGCCACAGATGGAGATGCAGATGAGGCAGGAAAGGGGGTCAGGTCCCCATTGTCAGCATGATAAATGCCGTGGTCAGGAGGTTAGACTTTATTCTGGGACAATGGACAAGGAGTGTCTCACTCTAGGCTTTGGAACTAAGTAAATGACATGATCAGAGTAAAATTCCATTCAATTCAGCAAAATGTATTGAGTAGCAACGATGCACCCAGCCCTGTACTTGATGTAGTGCATTCAGAAGCCATCTTAGTGCTGCCTTCAATGTCCCTAGAGTCTGGTGGGGGACGGATATATGAACAGATAATGTCAGCAAAAATAGTAGATTGAGCTCTGTTAAATAAGCAGGAGGCCATTGGCCTGAGGTTCTCTTCCTATTTTCAGTTCCTACTTAACAAACTGAAACCTAACTTAGGGAGTGTATTTTTTATAACAAATAGTTGGGTTTCGGTCAATCACAAACAGCTGAGCTTTAGCCAATTCCAGGCACCCAGCTGATCCAACTACACCCAAATAATGCAAACACCTAACAGTAGCCAACAGATAATATCTTTACTTTGCTTCTGTGTTTGGCCTGTAAAACTTGCTACTCCTGCTGCTGGATGGAGCCCTCTCACCTCTTCTGGTTCTGATTTCTACCCAATTCAGGAATCATTCTTTGCTCAAATGAACTCTGTTAAATTTAGTTTGTCTAAAATGTTTATTTTAACAGCTCATATAGATATATCTAAAGGAGGCCACGGGAACCCACAGAAAGTAATATGGGGGCTAAGGGAGAAGTTGGTACCTAACATGAGTCTTACAAGGACTTAAAGAGTTATTTGAATGAAGAGAAGAAAACAGGATATTCCAGTTTAAGAGAATACGGTGATCAAAATCACAGAATATCAAATAATACAGGATGTATAAAAAAGACAGCAGCTCCATTTTACTAGTGGCTCAGAATGAGGCAGAGAGAGGGGAGTGAGGGAGAAGAGGAGACGAGGGGCAGGGACTGTGCTTTGGAAACTTCACTCAGGATGGACGCAGGGAAACCAGGAGACTATTACAGAAGTGAAGTCCCACAGGCGTTACATTAAGAAGGCACATCCCAAATAGAAATTCCAAACTTTCCCTGGGAGTCTCACTTAAAGGGGGTCAAGTATATATTTTGCCAGGCAACTCTTATTAATACTTCAAGCTATTTCCTAATCTTCAGCATCCTCAGAACTCCCATTCCTATTCCAGAAGAACCGTTACCCCATCTTCAGTGTTTCATTCCCACCACCTGGTTTTTTAATCCCCTTTCTCTTCTCTGCCATTCCAGCAGACCACACTTGCCCTGTGAGTGTTATACTTTTGCTCTCTGTTTGGTTTTCGGCACCTACTCCAAATCTTTACACACAGATTTTTATCTTCTCTTCTCTGCCAATAGGGCTTGACGATGTCAGAGCAAGTGAGCTACTTTGTAACAAGGATGCAGGTTGTGGGAGGCTCTGAATTCACGTATGTTAACAATTTGGGGCCAGTTACAATCATTAAAATATAATACAACCAGAAAGAGCTAGAGAAGTGGCAGTATAATGGACTAGAAGACATGGAAGTGAGATAACTTGTAGAAACATAGTCAGGGCCAAACAAGTAACCAAAGTAGGACAGAGGCAGGGAGAGGTAGGACTTTAAAACTGCTTTGTCGTTTGAATCTAGAATAAGTAACAGTAGTGTGATATTATTCACCATGTCTGGGGGATACAAACAGAGAAACATAAGAGATAATAACAGAAGATGATAAACTTGGCTTTATATATGCTTAGCCTGAGGTGTCAACAAGATATTCAGGTCATATTTAAGAACCAGAGCACTTCAATTTAATGCCATATCAGCTGTCTCTAAACCTGTGTGTTACAAATCACCATTCATAATCAAAATCAAACTCTTTTAGAAAATGACCTACAATAGCCTGTTCTTGGAGATTGTTTGTACATCGATAATGCTTGCAGGAAATAAACCCATTTAACTTTGTTTCCAGCATTTTTCCTACCCACTCCCTCCCTTCTTTTTTTCTCAGCATCCTAGGGAATGCTTTTTTTTTCAATGCTCTAAGAAATGCTCATTAAAACACTGCAGGTCTCTAATCAGGGGAGGTTTAAGACAGAAGGAACATGGTGTGGGAGAAGGCAGTTGGTTTGCATGGGAGTGAGAGTGGAAGCTTTATGAACTGCTGAATCACCAAGAGTGAACAGCAAGAGAAAAGGGGATTGGAGACAGAACATTTATAAACACCATTTGATATCTCAAATGACACATGGAGAATATATTTGGAAGGACAGCAAGGTGTAATAGCAAAATCATGTGTTTCAGAGTGATCTAATCTTTTTAAGATTCCATTTTCTTTCTGAAAATTGATGTCTACCTTGTTGAGTGGTACTGAGATTTAAAATAGGTATGTGAAACATCTTCCACATAGAAAACACATAATCCACTCCCAGTAAATACTATTGTTAATACCGTTTTCATTTAAGTTTTTCTTGATAAATTGAAGCAAAACCTTGATGAATACACTGTGGCATTAAAACTTGAATGTTGGACAATTACATACGAGAAATCTCAGTCATTTGTATCAATACCCTAATATAGGGAAGCATCTTAGTTCAGACAAGCCTCAAACAGTAATAGCATGGTACAGGAATAGCAGCCATAGTAACTAGGCAATGAAAGAAGACACCACAGGAATTTCCCTATGGTACCAGGAACTACATTTTTTTCATCTATTTTTCATGAAGAGATGCTGGAAGCTAATATCTGAGCCTCAGTGAATACATTTGCTCTCCATATAAAATCCTAAGCTAAAAACCCCTTCCATGTGAATGACTGTGGGTATCAAATTGTCATGACGGGACATCCTCTGACAATACTCATTATCTGGCACCCTCAGGGTGAGACCAGGGGAAAGGCATCCACAACAAAATACTGGCTAATGAGATATATTTCTGTCTAATATATCACAGCGATACAAATGCAAGCCTTAGTCATTTTCAGTATTGGAGAATTGAGCATACAAGCCCCCAAAAGATTCTGAATTTAGAGTTAAAATTTCTGTTAACTGCCACAGCAGATTAGATTTTCTGTTCTCCAGCAAAAAATGGGGGCAATTACCAAGATTTTACCCAAGTCAATTCATTACAAACCCCAAAGGAATGGTCACCAGAATTTGTTATCTTTTGGAAGGTGACCTCATAGGTCTCAGGTCTGTCTGAGGAGCCTGGTGTAGTTAAGACTTGGCGTTAACATGACTGGTCAGTGTTCTTAATAAAGAAGACATTCCATAGCAGCCAAGATGTGGGTGAAAAACATGACCGGATGGCAATCAAGTCATTGCAGAGGTGTCTGAGGCATTCGGGTTATTCAGATCCTTGGGAAGGAACAGTGGCAGGGTGACAGATTTATGGTCATGGACACACAGGGCATTGTGGCAGGAGATGCTCACATGTTATTCTCTGAGCAAACATAGGCTAGTGTGTAAATGAAATTTGCCATAGAAATTCATGGGTTTTCTCTCAGGTGAGTACTTGCAGGAGAAAATGGACAACTATGTACTCTGACTGGTTTACATGATCACTTGCCTAAAATCACAAGACTGGGGCAGACTGAATATGTATATATATATATATATATATATATATATATATATATATATTCAATCTGTTCCAGTGAGTATATATATAAAATATCTTAAAAATATATATTATATATGTATGTATAAAAAACAATGTTACTTAAATGGGTCCCGAGGACTGGCAGCGTCAGCATTGCCTGAATCTAGAATTACCCAAAAGCGCAAATTCCCAGGCCCCACCCTAGGCATGGAGGAAACAGAATCTCTGAGTAATTTGTTTTAAGAAGTTTTCAGGTCATTCTTACATACAGTAAAGTTTCAGAAGCACTGCTCTAGACCTTTATCTGATGGGTCAATAATTGACACATCTCTCCACTTCAGCCTACTCCCCAAACTAGCCTGGCTTCTTCATCTTTCTGCCCTGAGTTTCCGGTTCTCTTCCCCTGATAGCACCTGACTAGGCCATCTGACTACATATAAGAGCTCAGTTTGGAATTTTTATCACCCACAAAAATCAAGAAACTGTGCAGAGGCAGTAAAAATGCTAATTTTTAGCTTTGTGATTTGGTTTGCAGCAGACAAAACTCATTTATAACTTTTTTCCAAGTTCTACGGTATTCATTTCCAAGTGAACAATGATATAAAGAAAGAAATGGAAAAAGGAGGAAAACACTTACATGAGCTGTAAGTTGCTCCTGGGAAGCTTTTACTTCAGCTTGCAATTTCTCGATGCACTGAAAAGGAGAAAAGTTTAGAAATCAATTACGTAACTCTTTCCTTTACATACTCAAAGTATTGCAGACATATCTGTGTATCAGTTTTCAAATCTTGTGAATGGTAGCATTATTTCAGCAACATTTTTTGAAAATCATTATTGAAGAAATCATCCTCCTTTTCCTATTTCTCTTCCATTCTATGGAAGAGCACAAAGAAAAAACACAAATATATTAAGAACTAGGCTATGTCTGAATAAGGTAATGTTAGCTTGATGTGCTGTGGTTAATGCAAACACCCCTATATCATATATATATATATATATATATATATATATATATATATATATATATGCATACACACACATACTCTCTATATAATATCTATATATCTATATCTATATACCTCCACATGAAAACATATTCATATATTCCAAAAACAGATACAAACCCTTTAGACTGAACAAGATGCAAATTTATATAATGATATATATAAATGCTCAGATATTCAGAGATCAATCATTTCTTATACAGTAATTAATTAAAAAACACATGCCGAATGTTAGAATCCTCTTGTTATTACTGCACAGAAAGAAACTACTTCTTGTTTAACCTTAACAACTCAGAGACATTTGTACAGTCAATATCATTCATAAAATAAATAGAATATTTAGCTAATATTATTCAAAAAGATGCATATCAAACTTTAAAACTACTACTAGCCAAATAAAATTTATGTCAATATTCACCAGGGAATAAAATTACTTTTAGCAAATACAAATATTGTTATTTGCCATTGTGAACTTGAAAATATGAACTTTTAATCCAGACTGAAATGGCTTTGCAGAATTGTCAGTTCATATAAAATTAGGTAACTTTTAAAGTAAAGATGACTTTGTTCTACAACATACCTGGTCTTTTGCAAGAAGCATTTTTCATATGGTTCCTCAGTGGCTTCCTTGTGGTTCACAGCCTCCAGTTTTTCCTCCAGCTGGGATACTTGTTCAAGCAGTTTTGACTTTGTTCCTTCAGCGACTGAAAGCTGAAGATATTTTCTTTATAAGGGTGTGTAAGTACAGTAATATTTTAAAAGCTCCTTTTAAAAATCCAACTTATAAATAATTTATCTTCCACCAATATCTATTAAATATGAAAATAGCTTCTGGAACATTTCTCACAGATGATAAATTAGCATAGAGAAAGAAGGAAAGAATTGATTTTATTTATTGTTTATAATTATCTTTCTAAGCAGGAGATGAATCCACATAGTTACAATGGGCAGATAAATTTCTTAAAAATCTCAACACTCATCTTCATTGTGTTTCAATATTGTACTTTATTTGTACAGCTGAATCTGAAACTAGTATTGTGGTTTACATATGGTCTTTGAAACGTAACTCTTGGGGGGCTACAGCTTTCTAGAAAGAGTGGGAGTTCTGACTCCCTTGAATGTTCACATAGAAGCAGCAGGGTGCATTTAACTAGGGGATATGCAGGAATTTCAAGTTAAAGTCTGATCAAAGGCAGATCTATACTAAGCCACAACCAAAAAATTCGTAGCAATGACTTTGTCTTTGTTTGACTGTTTGTAGATTCCTCTTGAAGAAAGTGGTAGTTTGACAGTCCTTAGTCTCTAATTCCCCTGGAGAGGGCCTGTACTAGCTTCTCCTTTCATTCAGGCAGCTATTGTGCTTTTTCTCTACAGTTCAGCAACAATCCTTAAACATTCACTGGAATCCTTACAGAATGTCCTGGAAAATAACACATGATTTTGTATTCACTGCAACTTCTAGCGTTTTCTCTAAAGCATGAATTATCTCTACATTTTTGCATTACTTTGAAAGTTACTGCAAGGCATACTGTCTCATCTTGAAAAAACTTGATTGTTCTTAAATTTTAAAGACAAGCTACCAAATGTGGAAGCACGAAGAGGTCAGTCTGCCAAGGAAGTAAGCACATCATCTCTACTGGCCCATCATATACTGGCATATCGTATATACCATGAGCATATCTTACATACTGGCACTGAACCATCCAGCCACACAGTCGTTCACTGGGCAAATGTTTGTTCAGTTGCCTCCTTCCACAGCTGTTGTGTTACGTGCTGCAGATTCAGAAAGTGCAAAATAAGGTTTAGAAGGAACACACATGCTACGAACTGTTGGCCATGCCTTTTGGCTCTTGGTGGTCTTGCAAACCTGTGGTGCTCCTCATGATCACTAACATGTTCAACTCCCGAGTGCATAGTGGTTTGAAATTGCAGTCTGGCTTTTCTGCCTACCCTTCTATTTTATTAGAGACATAGTATATCGTAAGGGTTAAAGCCATAAACTCTTATGTCATTAACCTTTGGGTAAAAAAAAAAAAAATCTCAATTTTTTTACAAACATTAGCCAGGCATGGTGGCAGGTGCCTGTATTCCCAGCTATGAGGGAGGCTGAGGCAGGAGAATCGCTTAAACCTGCGAGGCGGAGGTTGCAGTGAGCCAAGATCTCAATTTTGCTGTTTACTATCTGTGTGATCTCAGCAAGTTACTTAGCTTCCCTGGGCTTGAGTTTTCAAATCTGTAAATAGCAAGGGGAATGAAAAGAATACTACTTATCTCATGGTTTGGTTGTGAGGATTACATGAGTTTAAACAACAGAAACACTTAGAACAATGCCTGGAACATATCAAGCATCTAGCAGTTCTTATAATGATTCTTCTATGTCTTCTAGATTACAGTAGGTGCTCTTCTGGGTTTTTATCTACATATTTATCAAATTGCTTTTTTTTTTTTTTTTTGAGATAGAGTCTCACTTTGTCACCCAAGTTAGAATACTATGGTGCAATCTCTGCTCTGCAACGTTTACCTCTAGGACTCAAATAATCCTCCCACCTCAACCTCCTAAGTAGGTGGGACTACAGGTGCACACCATCATGCCTGGCTAATTCTTTGTATTTTTGATAGACACGGGTTTTCACCATGTTGCCCAGGCTGGTCTTGACCTCCTGAGCTCAAGTGATCTGCCTGTCTTGGCCTCCCAAAGTGCTGGGATTACAGGTGCGAGCCACTGTGCCTGGCCTATTTATCAAATTGTAAAGCAAAAACAAAATATCTGAAGACGTCATAACCTTTATGAGCTGCATACCCTGAACTCAAACTATATTTCATTTGTTCATTTCCTGTAACAACTCTAATCTTCAGGGAAAACTCCCTTCTATGTCTGGAATATTTTTTCTCAAATATTATATCTCTTAGTTGGGCTCGTTTTGTTCCCATATCCCGTCTGCTATGCGATCCATTGTTACCATTTTGTTGTCTTTCTTTTAAATCTATCTTCTCTTGTTTAAAAGCCTTTCTTCATTCACTCAACAGGCATCATTTATTCAATCATTTGTTAAAGAAATAAGTTGGACATTTATTATATGTAAGAATATATAGATTAAAAAATGAAAACAACATTGTTCACATCCTCAAAAAACTCATACTTTAGCCAGAAAGTCAGACCATTTAAAAATAGCTATTATATAATGCAAAACTATATAGGTGAATAAATAATATTAATAATACTTAACATTTATTGGGCACTTACTACATGTCAGACAGTCTGTTTTCAAATTTATTTTAGTATTGCAATTTATCTTCAAAACACCCTAAAGGTTCATTCTATTATAGCTCCCATTTTGCAGATAAGAAAATTGAGTTTCAACAGAATTATATAACTTATCAAAGGATATAGCAAGTCACTTCTGGAATTCAAGTTTTCAGTAGTGGACATCAGGTTTGACTTCCTATGCCCAAATTTGACCCCAGCTACAAAGTAGGCCCTGGTCATCATGACAATTTATCCTCTTTGCTGTTGATTGGTTCAGGAACCAAGGCATGAACTAATCAGAGCCTGGCTTTCCTGTGGCAAAGTTATTGTATAAGGAGATGTGACCTAATTTGGGTTAACCACACTGCAGAGAACTGGAGAGTGATTTGGAGAAGCACCTTCTGTCACCAACCAGACGTGAATGCTGCTGTAGCCATCCTACAGCCATCAGGAAACCAGGCACTCAGAAAGGAAGAGTAAACAACAGAAAAAAAACCTTAAGTTCTTGCTGACGTTGTTAAAGTGCTCTATTAACTAACCCTGAAGCATACCCTACCTTGCAACTTGCACTTAGTGAGCCATAAGTTCTCTTATTAAGGAGTTGAGTTTTCTATTACTTGTTGCCGTTAAGTATTCTACTGATACGTTGTTTGGTTCCAAGATTCCATGCTCTTGACCACAAGTGAGAAAAGTTAATGAAAAACAGCAGAAACTAACATATATTTGGTAGCTACAGTATACTAGGCATTCTGCTGGGTGCTGCATATATAAATGATACTTTATGCCATTGCTCAAAACCCTATCAGCAATTTTCTTTACAGTTTTTGTTATCATCATTGTAAAGATTGAGAAACTAAATGCTTTAGTGGTGAATTAACTTGCATAAAATTCTATAGCTAATAAGAAGAGCTTAGAGTTGGGCCCTCATTTGTCTGCCTCCATCCGTGGATTTTAGATCGTATGCAAATCCTGACTCTGAAGCTGCCTGTCACAATGAGGCCTGTGATGTTTTTTTTCCTTATCATGTGGACTTCAATCTTTCTCAGGTTGTTAACCTATATTCTTAAAGGAAATTTTTTTTCTAAGACCTAACAACTATCTCTAACCCACCATCTTGCTTCCTTTTTATATAGACACCAACCTCTTATTTCCTCTCCTTTTTAAAGAAGTTTCTTACTGAATATCTCTTTGACTCAGATCTATTTAGCTCAGGTTCAGCTTAAGACTAAGAAATGTTGACTTAGATTCAGGATATCTATGTTTTAGTCTTAATTCCACAGATCATTGACTCTATAACCTTGGTGCCCATAACAGAATTTTTAAAAAAATTTCGAGGTCCTGGTCTCTGATCAGCCTTTCCACCAATCCGGCAGGCTGGGAGGCAGCCAGGGCTAATTCTGCTTCTGCATCAGATTCCTCTTTCACAATGTGGCTCAGAAGCTCCCCAGGCCCCGAGGATGAATTCTCAACTCCCACCTCCTGAGGCACCACTTCAAGATGGGGCTCCACTTCCCCCACTTGGCTGCTTTGAGATTCCATCTTCCCTGATAAGATGTCCTGTCCTAGGACCTGGATACTGATCCATTGCCACAGTCTCCGGGGGTCCCCCTTCAAACTCTCCACAAGCGTCACTGCCTCTTCTCCACTCCCTGGACACTGTTTCTGCACCCACATCTGGATCTCCCCAGGCAGGACGGTCAGAAAGTGCTCCAACATGAGGAGCTCGAGGATCTGCTCTTTGGTGTGAACCTCTGGCAGCAAGGAATATAATAAAAAAATGAAAAGACAACTGACAAGATGTGAGAAAATATCTGCAAATCATATATGTGATGAAAGTTTAGTGTGCAAAATATATAAAGAACCCTTATTATTCAGCAACAAAAACACAAACCACCCGATTGAAAACGGGGCAAAGGACTTGAGTAGACATTTCTCTAAAGAAGACACACAAATAAACGGCCAAGAGGCATAAGAAAAGATGTTCAGCATCACTAGTCATTAAGGTAGTAGAAATCAAAACCACAGTGAGATTCTACTTTGTATCTACTCTTATGACTATAATATTAAAAATGGAAAATAAAAGATGTTGCTGAAGATATGGAAAAATAGAAACCCTTGTACATTGCTGGTAAGAATGTAATATGTTACAGGCAATGTGGAAAAAATGACCGATCAAAAAGTTAAACATAGAATTACCATGTGATCTAGCAATTCCACTTCTACATAGATATCAAAAAGAAATGGAACACTGACATTCACAAAATATGGCATACAAATGTTTATTCATAACAGCTAAAAGTTGAAAACCAAACGTCCATCAACAGATGAATGGATAAACAAATCTCATTGCGTACACACAATGGAATATTATTCAGGCATAAAAAGGAATGAAGTACTTATACTTGCTATAACTTGGATAAACCTCAGAAACATTATGTTAAGTGCAAAAAGCCACATACAAAAG